TAAATAAAAAATAAAAACATCTCTTGGGCCAGGGAGATAGCTCAGTGACATAAGCACCTGCCTCACAAGTGCAAGGTCCTAAGTTCGATCCCTGGTACCACATAGAAAAGAAGAAACATTTCTTTTATAAAGTCAACTTACCAAAAGCAGTTTACCCTTTCCTGTGAATAATCAAATTGTACAGCAGAACATTCTGTGAGGTCTAGGATCCGAATTGGTTCTGGTGACTGAAAGAGGGAAAAAAGCAACCTACATCATCTTAAAAAGCAACACCAAAATCTGTCTGTCACCTATGCCCCTGAAAAGTATTCCACTATGTGAAACTGTCATTCTTCTGTCTCTCCGAGGCCTGCAAAAGCTTAGAAAGGGAGGTCACAGTGGCACTGTGGGAACCAGCCTCTGAGGACACTGAGCACAAGGACATTGCTTCATCAGGGCAGGTGCATTGATGGAAGTGGACTTAGCACGTGGGGAGGTGTCCTTTTCTTTTACCTCCTCGATTTTGACTTCCTCAGAGAATTTATATAAGGAAAATGATAAATAAAATACTGTAGGTTGACATAATGAAACAGTCATGAGAGACAAACATGTTTTTAAGAAAGGGGGAAATTGTTTCAGAAAGATAGTTAATACATTATGGCAAAAGAAAATTCATCCCCCTAAGCAGAAGGAATTAGGTGTCCTGGAGAGGTACAGTTTAGTCAGCCCCCCAGGCAGCATCAGGGATATCTATCTCAGCTTAGCAAGTGTTCTGCTCATATTAGGAATTAGAAACTCACATCTCTGGAACGTATTGTTTCAAGTGGACATAAGGAAAATCGGATTTCAAAGGCAGATGTTCCTCAGTAGCCTGCATGTCCATCAATCAATGAATAGAGAAAGACGAAGTGATTTGTATGCACAGCAGAGCACTACTCAGCCATAAACAATGATAAACTTGAGGTATTTGTAGGAAAACGGATGCAGCTTGAGCCCACAATATTAGGGGAAATAAATCAGATGCAGAGGATTAAGCATTGCATGGCTTCTCTTATATGAGATACCCAAAGTAGGAATAAAAAGGAAATAAAACCTAGGTAATAGGTAACAGGGAGACAGGTCTTTTGCAAATGGGAAGGGGGCTGAGAGATGGGGGGAGGGAATGGGGAAGGGTAGGGGTGCGGAAGACCTGAGATGGTTCTGTGTGCGCACCAACTCCCCATGAGGACGGAGCAATGTGCAAACATAGGCTAAGAAATATTTTAATTTTTTTTTTAAAAACCCAGATGTTCCTTTTGTCTAGAGAGAAGATTTTAAGGGGAAAATGCAGGAACATGTTCCTCACCATCTGGTCTTTGAAGTATTTCAGTTCATTTCTGTGCAGAGTGAACCATCTTGTTTTCCATGTCTGTGGAAAAAAAAAGTTACAACACACCAGTTTTGAATATGAGAACACAATATTTGAACTGGTGGATTTACTTTTGTTTTCAAAGTGTATAAAATATCAGAGAAAATAAGTTAGAAAGTACTTTTTACAAATTTCAAAATAGCTACAAAAATTAAAATGATTCCACATATTAAGTTTATAACGGTGGCAGAAATACTGTTTTTTTTTTTTTTTAAATTTTTTTTCTTTATGTTTGTGTGTGTGTGTGTGTGTGTGTGTGTGTGTGGCCAGCTCAGCCCACCAGGGGGCGGGCTGGCTGGCATGTGGTGCTGGGGGATTGAACCGCAGTCCCTGTGCTTTGCCAAGCTTGTTCTAAGTAGGTGCTTTAGACCACTGAGCCATCTCACCAGCCCCAAAAATACTGTTAATTAGCTCATTTAAACAAATAAAAAAGATGCAATCTATCATGGACCTTCAGGATGATTTATAGCAAATTTCTATGATTTCTACTGTGTTAGTTAGCTTTACAATAAAAATAAATGTCACTTCTGTGCACCTACTGGAAACTACAAACTACTTTTAAATTTTTTTTAATTTTTTAAACTACTTGGAAATACATTTTACATATATATTTATACACATTCTTAGAAGTGCATTTATAGTTTACTTACATTTACATCTATGTTATAGATAGTCCTCACATAACAATACCAAATATTACTTTTGTCTTACAAATAAATCCAACCTCACTGTCCTCTAACCCTTGCCAAAGACCCCATGGGGTATGCCATAAACCAAGTTGCCTATGGTCACCTTCTTGGTGCCAGCAGAGCCTGATCTTCCTGGGGCAGTGTGTCAGGTACAAGGAGTGACAGGCTTTTGAGGTCAAACCCACTGTGAAAGTGAATGTTCCCTGCCCCCAGGAGTACCTGGCAAGGTGGGGACTAGGTACAATTTAGTCAGCCTACCAGGCAGCATCAGGGATACCTATCTCATCTGGGAAGGGTGGTCCTGGCATAGCAAGCCGTGAACAGCTGGGAGGTGTCCACAACCTTGGAGATGGAGCAAGAGCTCCAGGGACAGCTGGGGTAAGGGGCTGGACACACTGGGCCACCAAAATTCCACAGTGTGCTTTCCTTGGGATATCCCAGCTTCATCTTATTAGCATCAGGGATGTTCCTGGCTGACCTGTAAGTTAAACTTTTATACTATCTTGACCTCTTCGTGTAAATGGGGAAAAGGACTACATAGAAGGCTTTCAAGCAGACTTTTGCCCTCTGCTTCAGCCTTCCCTACCTGCACAAGTGGTCTTACTGTTACAGGTGCCTGCAGAGCTCTGCCCAAGACTCAGTGACACTGCTTCCCTGGCTGCTGATGAAGCATCACAAAAGCAACTCTTGAAATAGATGCATTTTATAAGTGGGTCGACATGAGTTGAAAGCAGCACTTATAACAAAAACGTTACCCACTGGAGAACCCCGAGTACGCTCACCTTGACCAGGCCACCCTGCTTCATGAGGTAGCCCTCTTTGGTGGCCAGCTGCAAGAGAAAGAATCCCTGTGAGCCCAGCACAGTCACAAAACAACATCTGCCTGGCCATTCTCATCCTACTTTAAAGAGGAAAGAAAAGGAGCCTCAACATTTCTGGGGTTTGCTCCATTCTTCACCTGGCCCTGTCCACACGTGCTCTGCTGTTCTTCTGCACCAGTGGCCATGACAGAAGTGCTTCCTGCTGACAAGGGCAAGTAGGCTGTGAAAACAGAGGACCATGCCCCCCAACCCCCACTAAGTCTGTGTTTGTGAAAGTGCTGTGTGTGAGTGGTAACTGGACAGGTACAGCCATGTCACACACATGTCTAGGCCAGTACATCTCAGCCACCTGTCCACAGCCCCTGTTTCCTGGACCCAACCTGCCACGGACAGAGACTGTTTGGGAAAAGCCATTCTGAAGATGTGCAGATGTGTTCTTGACATTTCACCTTAAACAGTGCAGCCCAGTCAGGCGTTACACCTCCCTGACGGAGCCTGAGTGTTGTATGCTCCCTTGAGAAGGAGGCTGCATAGGCTATGCCCTTGTGCACAGGGACCCAGGCCTCTGACGACTGCTACTGCTGGAGCCTGAGACTCATCCCCAGCAGATACCAGGGTGTGCTGTGCTTGGAAAGTTGGATTCAGAGAAGGGAAAGGAGGCCATTATGGGGGTGGAGTGGGGGGGGGTTGCGGGGTCCCAGATCTGCACTAGGCAATATGTTCTGCTCTCCGTGTTCCCAGAGGGTCCTCAGAAGGAGCAGCTCCTGCCCTTTCTCCCACACACTGTGCTCAGAACCCACGTTCCACAGAGCAGATATCTGGGATGCAGAGTCACCAGCATCTCCCATAGCCAAGGGGACTTGAGAGCAATGGCCAGTTCCTCTAAACAATCACAGCAGCAAGACCCACAGACACCAGGAGGGTGGAGGCTGAGTGAGAAGACAGTGGCATGTGACAAGGAAGTGGACGATCTTATCCACTTCTGAAGAGGCCAAGTTCCAGGTAGGATGTTTTATTCTGATATGATCTCCTGATATGCCTTACATTAATAAGAAAAAAAAATGAATAAAAGCCATTACCAATGGGTAATGGCTTGGGTGACACCAAGGTTCTTGTTACGGGAGTTTCCAGAGTGTTTCTGCCTGAGGTGAATGCTCCCTACTGGTAAAAAGAAGAACCAGTACCACCACATGGAGAATCCAAGCAGGAAGTGGCACAGCCATCTACACAGAGCTTGGGGCATAAATGTCAGGAGCCTCCCAGGGGCTCCTTGCAATGAGGTTAAGCAGGTGACCAATGTCACAAATCAACTTTGCTTATTCTGATGCTAAAGAGTTGGGCTGAGGTATCAAATAATGACAATGATAAAATTATCACATTGGATTGCTGAGGTTAATGTCTATAAAGACACATTAATTCAGAGCAATTTGTAATATAAAAAGCCCTGGTGGAATTATTCACTGAGGTCAAGTTGAGGAAAATCTCTGACCCCCATCCAGCAATGTGCTGCAGGCTAGGGTTAGGAATTTTGTCTGGTTCTGTCTTCTCCTTTTCCTTCTCCTTCTCCTTCTCCTTCTCCTTCTCCTTCTCCTTCTCCTTCTCCTTCTCCTTCTCCTTCTCTTTCTCCTTCTTCTTTTGTTTGTTTTGGTACTGGGAATTGAACCATAACCTCATGCTTGCCAGGCAGGCATTGTGCTACTGAGCTATATCCCCAGCCCTGAAATTCATCTTCTAAAAATGGTATGATCAGTAATAGGAAAGACATTGGTAAGAGCCCAGGTTGGAGACAGGCTCCCTGGCTGCATTTGCCTTTGCCATGGCTGAATGCTGCTAGGTAAGGGAGATGAGGAGGGTGTTAGTGTGAGGGGTCATCCCCATGGATGACACCGGTGACAGCAGCAGGGATGGTGGCAGCAGGGTGGTGGCAGGGCTGAGGTGGGAGGTGGCTCTGCTAAGGGCAGAGTGGTGGGGTGGCAGGGCCTGGGGCTGGTGTGGATGAGCTAGGCAGCAGGCAGCAGGCAGCACGCAGGGGTACGCAGCAGGAGCAGTGGTTGGAGACCATTCCCATTTATTCGGTCCAGGAACACACATGAAGGGGTGATGGGCCATGAGACTCCAAAAAATGGAAAGGGGAAATCAGAATGAGCCTTGTGACACTCAATTTGGATGGGAGTGTTGGTGGACAGAGAGGTATAAGAGGTGATAGACTGGAAGATGGATAGACAGACAGACAGACAGACAGACAGGTAGGCATAGCACAGGCATATGAACGGGCTTATGTGTCTGCATGGCTATTTGCCCTGACTTAGTTGGGTGGGACAGTGAGTTCCCCATAAAAGTAAGTGTACAGTGGTCAGGTCTAAAGTGCAACTTTGCAGGAAGAAGAGAAAGATTTATTGGAGAAATAGATTCCAGAGTTGGGCATAGGAAAACACCAGAAAGCACAGGATATCTTGTTCCATCAGAAAGTACAGACATCCTAAAAACAGTCAGCCCACAGGGACAAAGCAGCCACCTTGAAAGGCCAAGGCTGTGAAAATTTAAACAATCAAAATAAGTAATGACAGTCATGATTGCAACCCACTGCTACAAAGACAGGAGAGAGGCTCTGTCTAGATGATAAAACGCTTTCCATACAAGTACACATAGAGGGACTGCAGAGTCGGAGGCTATTTTGCAACAATCATGGTAAGAACTGAAACAGTGAAGAGGCCTCCACCAACACCAGCACTGGTGGGTGCAGTTCCACAGGGAGCAGGACACTTACAAAGTCTCCAGTAGCTCCCCAAACCAGAGTATCACGCACTTATTAAGTGGCGCTGTGGCATGAGACCCACAGTGCGGAAGTCTGGCACTGCAGGTGCCACACCAGGACAAACTGCACCCAGACCAAGACTGGGCACGAGCTCTGCTGGGGTCCACTGCTGGGTGAGCCAAAGCTGAGGAAAGGCTGCTTGGTAAGTGCCTTGGACCTGAGGAAGGGTCAGAGTCACAGGGTCAGGAGAGACTGAGGCCGAGTTCCCAGCAGGTGTCCTAGAGGCAGCCTGGAAGGCAGGAAGCCAACCGTGCTTTCTGCTTCTCAAACTAGGATGTCTTGGGGACACTGGTGAAACCAGAGGGACCTGTGGTTAGTAAGGCGTGCATGGCTCAGGGCTAATTCCCAACAGCACAGTTTGGCTGCCTGGAAAATGTTCTGGTTTGGGGAAAACAGATTGAAACAGCTGAACAAGTACAGCAGGAGGCTGGCTACTCTTGGGTGGCTCAGGAAAAACAAGGTTTTTTTGTGCTATCCCTCCAATTACTCTATAAATTTGAAATTTTAAAAGATAAAAATAGAATGTAAAAATGTAACTGAGGGTTTTCTAAATAAATTGATGTGTCCAAATAATAGACTATTAGGAAATTTGCCTAGTGGTGTTTTAGAGAACTATGCAATAACACGGATAATTTTCACCGTGCATCATTAATGAACCTATCACGAATGCAACACAGAGCTCATTCCATGCACATGCACTGTGTCTGTGGTAGAAGCTTGTTGTGTACTACTGGTCACACACACAAATACGAGTGTGTGAAGGATGATGAGGAAATGAGGGATGCTTCAAAGACAAACTTTGGGAAATGCCCCCTGGGCAGCAGGAGAACAGAAACTGAGCAAGCATCAGAGATCACAGCTGGAAGGAGAAGACAGTTTTAGAAGAGAATTGGCTCGAGAACACAAATGGTTTTAAAAGACAATTGTCAAAAACCACAGAAGGGAAGTTAAGAAAGCTCACATTTCCAATGACTTCTATGTTGGAATTTGAAATAGACAACTGCACTGAACCTCTTCCAGTGTAACTGCTTGGTTGTTCCCATTCGACATGTTCAAAACTGAGTCTGTTCCCCTGTCTGGGCCCCTCCTGCAGCCTTGGGCTCTCGGTGGACCCTCTACCTGCTGCTGCCTCTCCTCCTCCTGTGACCACATCCAGCCCGACAGCACCTTTCTCCTGCCTCCGAGATGCACCCTGGTGACAGCTAGTCCTGGCTCTTCCTTTCCTGCCTTTTAGCAGCTTCTGGCCCCAGCTGTCCCTGAAGCCCACTGTGGGTCCCACCCCACTTACAGCCCAGCAGTGAAGAGGTCTTCTTCAACATTTAAATCTTTCGGACTGGGGTGATAGCTTAACTACATACCACATGCCTAGCAAATACAACATCCTGAGTTTGATTCCTGGTACAAAACCCACAACATTTAAAGCTAAAGCATATTCTTAGCCCAGTCAAGAGCATCCGCATCAACACAGACATCGTTTTTGTGCTCTAGGAGCTTCTGAATTGTGTAAAGTGCGTACAATCAACTTTTCATTAATTCAGCGTTGTACACTGTAGTGCCTGGATCGCAGGCCCTGTGCCGAAAGCTTTGGAGGTGGAAATCTTCACACTGTGACCAACACTGGAGCACTCGTACGAGCATTTCCAAATGCTTACAAGGAAACAGTGTGCTTGCTGTCATTCCCTTCTTCCATCTCTTTCCGCACATGTCCCTAAGTGCGAGTGACCACACAGTGGCTGGACATCCCAGTTCCCACGGATGCCAGGAGGTCGCCGTGAGAAGATGATTTGGGCTGGGCCAGGCCAGGAGTCAGAGAGCTGGGGCTGCCTGAGCCAGGCCCAGTGCAGTGGGCCAAAGTCGGGAGCTGCCCAGGAGCTGCCTGAGCCAAGGAGAGTGGTGCTCACACATACAAGTGTGGGGATCGCACGCACACGATTATCCAAAGAGAACCCAGACCAAACAGGAAACCAGAAACAAGAAAAGAAATGAAGCTGGGCATGGTGATGCACACCTATAATCCCAGCACTCTGGAGGCTGAGACAGGAGGACCCCTTCAAGTTTGAGGCCAGCCTGGGCTACAAAGTAAGTTCAAGGCCAGCCCGAATTGCGTAGTGAGAACTTGCCTCAAAAGAAAAACAAAAACAGAAGAGAAACATGAATTCCTCCCCTCCAGGCAGGACTGGAGGAGGCATGGGGAGGGAGGAGTCCAGGCTGGCCCTGTGATACTACACCCCATTCTCTGTCCTGTCCACAGATTGTGTGGCATGGGGAGCACTCAGACCCCGGCCCTGCACTGGCCCCCACCCATGCCGGCAAACTCTGGGCTGCGTGGCCTGGCTCCTCACAGCTGAGGCTGCCATGTGCTGCATAACGCCTAGCTGCTGCTCCTGTCTGCCGCTGGGACACTTCACAGTCTCTCGTGTTTCTGGGCCTCAGCATGGGGCATTGATGCCTGTTGTTACATGCCACCTTTTAAAGTGTGTGTGTACACTAGCAGCCATGGAAGATATGAATAATGTCTTCCTTCAGACCAGAGCACAGATGTGCTTAGCATTCACTATAGAAGACTGGGGTTAGTGGGCATAGTGCACATGCCTGTAGCCCCAACCTTCAGGGAGGCTAGGGCAGGAAGAGTACAAGTTCAAGCCCAGTCCAGGCAATTTAGTGACTTAGCAAGACCTTGTCTCAAAATAAAATATTTAAAAAAATGGACTGTGTAGCTCAGTGTAAATGCTCTGGGTTCAATCCCCAAAAGGTTAGGGTTCTCAAATATTGGATTCCTCTCCTCCAATACAATCCATAATGCATGGACAGCTCCAGCCCCTTTACTGTTGCCCTCTGGAAGTCAGGACACCTGGGGACCTGGTCCAGCACCACCATTCTGAGGACTGCTCCCTCTGCAAAAAGCTGTGCTGTCCCTGACCGGAAGTGCGCTGGCAGGTAAGCAGACAGGCTGCTGTGAGTGAGGCCCCTGACTAACCGTCTTTGTTCTTGGCATTAAGGGGACAACGTCCTGAAGCACAGTGATGGCCAGATACTCATGCATGCCACTCTGGGACCCACTTCCCCAACCTGATCCTCATAGCCCCACTGCACTGTCCTGCCCACTGCAGGCACACAGGCCGCCTTGGTGATCCTGAACACTCAGGAGCCTGGGGTGGGGTGGGGTGGGGTGGGGTGGGGTGTGCTGTCCCTGTCTGCAGGCCCAGCTGCATCATCTTTCAGGAATCTCTGCTCAAAGGTTGCTCCCAGGCCATCTTGAGACATAGTTGACATGCCAGCTTTCAAGTGTTGATGATCCTACCCAGAAGGGCAGTGTGTGTGTGTGTGTGTGTGTGTGCGCGTGCGTGTGTGTGCGTGTGTGTGCCTATGCCCAACCTCCATATCTTTCTGATTTACCCTGGAATAGATGACGTGAGTTGCAGCCTTGAGCACTGTGTCCTCTCCAGGTTTTGTATTCTAAGCTAGAATTCTGCACCCAAATGTACTGTAACTTTCCCTGTGCTTGGAGAGAGACAGAGCTTGTGACAGAGCTGGTCACTTACAGAAGGTGCAGCAGGCATGAGGTCACTCTCTGTCCTCCCTGTCTGCATCGCTGTGTGGACCCGGACAGACTCGTAGATGGCTGGCTCCTCCACATCCTTGGGGTAGGGGTGTCTGAGCACGATCAGGGTGCCTGCATGAAGACAGAGAGCCTCATCAGTGCTCTGAAGGGGAGGGCGGCCCTGTAGGCTCATGGTTCTGTATGCACGCACTCCTTTGTGTCCAGCATCTATGGGATAGAACCTCAGCCAGACACTGGGACAGTGACAAGTCTTCAGCTCTTGCACTTGGAGCTTGAGTGGACGTGATCACCTAAATGAAGGTGTGAGATCCATCTCCATCAAGAGACTATAGCTGAGGGCAGGACCAGGGCAGGGATGCCTTGGGACACCTCACCCAGAGACAGCCTGGCTGCACCTCGCACTGTGGCTAGCAGGTTTCCAGTGAGCTTTGCAAATTCATGGGGACCAAGCCCTGGAGAAGTGGTTAGGCTGGAGGACTCAGGCCCTGCACTTCTTCCTTGGGCTGGAGAGCAAGCTGCAGCCTCATGGGGCTCATGGCATGCCCCCCCAAACTCTGCCCCCGCACCCCAGGAAACAGAAGGCTTTGCTGTTCCTCCTGAGCCCAGAGTTCAGGGCTGAGCTTCTCACCACAACCTCCATCTCCCACCCCTCCATCAATGAATCAGAAACTAGAAACTCTGCCTACAAGAAGAGAAAGTGCAAGGGGTTTTCCTCCTTGATACAGTTCCTGCCTTTTATTTCATGAGAGTATTTGCTACAGCAGGTCCAGGCCTACATTAGATGTGGCAGAAAAGTAAGAACTCAGTCAGTGAGTCAGTTAGTTAGTCAGTCAGCCAGCCAGCAGACACCTCAGGGCTCTGCCAGGTACTCCTTTGGGCAAGAAGAGCAGCAAATGGAAGCAACCTACTCTTCTGGAATGTGCTGCCTAGGTCAGGAACCAGAACTGTGTCGAGGAGAGTTCAGGTGTGAGGAAAATGGTAGAGTGAGACCCAAGAGGTCCCACAGGGAGCGGTCTGGGAAAGGCAGTTTGAGGGGTCCTAGGAAACAGATGCATTCTGTTCCTGATGGCCTTGAACCAACAGCAAACAGAGCTGCACAAAATGCTCTCCACGGGGTGTGTGTGCAGGGTCCAGGTCATAGCTGTGAACTTGAAGCAGGCTGCTGCTGGCAAACTCTGTGACCAGGAGTGGCCTCTGAGAGGCACAGAGGCCAGCAGGGCCTGTGGCCACGGCAGCTGCTAAGTCCCACTGGGTGCTGCTTGGTGTTCCAGCCCAAGACACAGTGGCCCTGGACAGATCCCTGACAAACCAGCAGAACACAAGGCTTGGTGGCCAGCTGCAGCTCCCCAAAGACCCGGGTGCCCTGATGCCCCGAGGGGGTAGTATGTGGAAAGGAGATAAACAAGAGGTAGGATTTCCTCTTGGGATAGAGTATTTTCAAATCCCAAAGACTGCTCTTCTGAAGATGTGGAGTAAAATTCTGAGTTACAATAGACCCAGGAGCCATATTCTTATGGGAATAGGCCTGGTGTCACTGCAACCAGCAATGACAGATCTGACTGGGAGGAGCAGGAGAAGAGCCCTCTGGGCAGCCTGGAAGTCAAGGAAGCTTTCAAATCTCAGGCCTTATCACCTGTCAGTACTGAGTACTCCTGGTGTTTCCTGATATACCATGAATTCAACATTTCAGTTGACCCTGGGACAGACTGACTGGCATTACAGCCATGCCAGCATTCCTGCCACTCTGGGCAAATGGCTGCAGAGCTGATGGCTCAGGACAACTCTGTGGTGGCATTGTGTAGCACTAGATGGAGCCTGGGCCACCCTCATCTAACTAGGTATGAGCAGGGCTGCTCCCTGCATGTCCTGGGGAGGCCGCCCACGTACGCTTAGACACATGGCACTTTCCTCCCACCTTTGAAGCCCTTGCTGGGGATTCCCTCTGGCTCTCCCTTTTTGCTTTGACGATCACCCCAGGAACCCTGTGGTTACCATGGCTCTGGCTGGAGCATGTGTTAGTGTCCTCCCCAAGGCCCTAACCCCAGCCTTCTTTCCATCTGCAAGCCTAATACCCTTTTGCTGTGTAACATCCACAGGTCCCTAGAGAGCTGAGTAGATTTGTTTGAGGCCCATAGCTGCAGTCTCTGGGGATGGGTGTGTGGCAGAGGTCACCAGCAGGTCACCATGCTTTCCTTTTAGAGGTCTGAGAGCAGCTTCTAAGCAGGCTTGGGGTCAGCTTTATCTTCATTTACCTCCCTAGAGCTAAGAACCTCTGATAGATGAAGGCCTAAGGAGGAATGAATAAATGAACAAATGCTACAGCAGTTCAAGTCCAACTCAGCCTCCCTGCCACAGACACCCTGCCCTGGGGCATGGATGGGGACAGGATGACCTCAGGCCTGACTCTCCAAGTCAGAAGGGAGAATCTAGATTCAACCTGAAACCTCTTCTCTAGTGTAACCCAAGTCAGGCTGGGAGACCAGAGTTAACTGCAGGTTTCGTCATTTAAGCTGCCGGGCCAGGCAGAAGGCCAGAATGATGGAGCAAAGGAAACAGAAGCAACCTATAAAGGGGGAGCACCCGGGGGAAGGCATCTGGTGCCTTGAGGTAAAGCAAAAGGGCACAGTTGCCAGGCAACTGTGACCGCCTTTCAGGAGAGACAGTCTCACCCCAGGACACAGGTTGGAGCCCAGGCCCCAGGCCTCTACCATGTCCTCAACCCCAAGAGGTAACCCATTTTGAGGTAAACATGGTGACCTGCTGGTGACCTCTGCCACACATCTGTCCCCAGAGACTGAAGCCATGAACCTCATGTGGGTTCCTTAACTGCCTGCATATGGCTGCTTCTGTGGAAAGAAGACCCCCAACTCGCTTGTATGCATGCTGGAGTGGACATTCATTCCTGCCTCTGACAGGAAGCCAGTCTCAGAAATGTTCTGTGGAGGAACATTTTGAGGTAAGCAAAAGTGGACCAAGCTGGATGTTTCAATGCACAGGAAGCCTCAGAGTTGCCCTGATTACTGAGCCGCTCCTTTATCTTCTCTGGGTTGTTTGAGAGCCCTTAAGTTCTAGAAAGACATACTCATATCTTTCTAAATTCCACTTCCCATGTGCACATTTATGTTAATTCAGTGAGCCAGGGTCAGTCTCTATAATCAAAAGAAACACCTGTAGTGCAGCATCTGCAGACTCAGAATTCCCACCTGGGCCAAAGATGGCACTTGGGCCCTCAGAGAGGAGTTCTGGGTCAGAATGCTGAGAGGAAGTAGGGGTGAGAGGGGAAGAGGAAGATGGGGGTCAGCACCCCAGGCTCGGAAACAGAGCTGCGTGTGAGTTTCAGTTCAGCTTCCAAGTTGCATGAAGGTGGCAGCGCTTCCTGCCTCTGCCTAAAGCTTGGTTTTATCTCCACTCCCCAGCAGCTCACTTTTTCCAAGGAGAAGAGCCAGCCAGAGGTGGGCTGCAGCTGGATGGATGTTTACAACTCTATACACCGTGACACTGAGGACACCAGGGCCTTTGGCAGGAACTACAGAAGGACAAAGCAAGGCTCTTTGGAGGCTGAGAGTGGAGTACATGTGGATTCCAGTGGGGGACTCTGCTGAACCCCTCCTTGAGGCCTGGAGTTGGCAGTGGCCCTCTGCCCCAGGAGCGCTGGAAGGTGCTGGGGCCACATGATGCTGCTTCCACTCTGCACCACAGCTACCCGCAGTGTTGAGGTGAAGACCACACTGTCCATGTCTTGTCACCATCCTCAGACTCAGAACATGAGCCTGCAGCTGTCCTGCTGGATTTGTCTTCTCCTGACCTGGGAAGCAGCTCTCGAGGGGCCTCTGAGAACATCCATCTTTGCCTCCTGTTGCCAGCAGCTCTGCCCAAGGACCCCAAGCCCCGCCCACTCCTCTGGAGCTCCAGGGTTCAGCCTCCAGCCCCGTAGGGGAAGCTGAGTCTCACAGTGCAACCGAGTCTGCTCCGTCACCACAGCCTGCCCAGGAGGGAACAGCAGTGGCCAGCAGGAGACTGCTCTAATGTCCAGCTGGATTGAGGGCAGGGAAGAAATGACAGGCAGCCAGGAGATGGGAAGCTGTGATTTTACACTGTCATCTCAAGATCATGGTGGCTTCCAGACTCAGTGTCACAGGAGCTCCTTCCACTCAGGCCCATTTCTGCTCCCTGTGGCCCTCCTAAATCCCCGAGAAGCTTGAATGTGTCGCCAAGTCTACACATTTGGGCTGTGCTTAATTCAGACCTGCAAATTCATGAACTACAGGGTCTTTTCCTCCTTTCCCAGGGGATGGGACTCTTGGAACCATGTGAAGGTCAAGCACAGGCTGGCATTTCGTCTGTGTTGGCCATGCCTGGTCCTGGGTGAGCCCACAATGAGCAACTGTCCTCAGGAAACAGACACCAAGCAAATGACGAATAACAACACAAATCCTCTGTCACCTGTCTTAGGGTACCAGTGACCATGTAAATACCCCAGTCTACATCATGGACACCCCAAGACCGTATGTGTACCCCAGAGACACAGTGCCAGGCGCCTTCCCAAGTCTGTCCTTCTTTCATTCTGCTTAAGAAATCTGTGCTTTCAGTGAGGCAGCCTGAAATTCTTTTTTAGATGAGAGTCAGGAACCCAGCCCAGGACACACAGAGGTTACCATCTCCTCTCTGGGGCACTCTCCTCGGAGACATGACAAGGTCACTCTCTTTGGAGTCATGCTTGATTCCTTCCACTCCTACTCCAAAGCTGCTGTGGGACTGCCTGAGGTCTAAGAATATCTGCTGTCCCTGAAGGATAATTCATGACAGCAAAGAGCTTCTGGCTGCACTATAAACCGGGCCTGCAGATGTAGACATTTCAGGAGATGTGAGGCCTTGTGCTCTCCTTTCTCACCAGGCTTCTTTCTTCCACTGTGAAGGAGAATGAAAATGGCCCAGCTTCCCCCAGTTCTACTGACCTGGGGAACTGGTTTAATCTGCTGACCCAAGTTAGGGGGAAGCAACACCACAGAGCCCAGCTCCGCAGGCCCTGCTTCTTCTGCACACATGCTCCTGGCTCTGGCACCATGCTCCCACCCGCCTGGAGCACGCTCAGCCCTAGACTCCACTCCACCTCCCTTCAGCAGCCATGCAGGCTCTGGGTCCCATGGACAGCACACTTCGGGCCTGCATGCTCGATGGCTGATGTCTTCTAGGGTGATTTCTCTGGGGTAATTCTGTGAGTTTCTCAGAAAAGTGACAGTAGAGGGACACACACTGAGCCTCTCTGCTTTGCAGAAGACTAGGGTGGGATGGAGCCTGGCCTGTGCTCCACAGTGTCCCACAAACTGTCACATTATGGGCAGGATTCCACTCAGATGAATCTGCAGAGGCCCCATGGCTCCATGACACACAGCCCTGTGTGGCCATGGCAGCCTGGATGTGGGCAACGGGAGGGACTCAATCTGGGGTCCAGATGTGCAGCCTGGGGAAGTAACTTAAACCTCTGGCTCCCTATTTCCCCATGGAAGGGGAGACCACACACAGCATCTCAGGCATCTGAGGCTGGCGATCTGCTATCTGTGAAGGCATCAGATGGACGCCTGGAACTCAGCCAACACCCATGATGGCTGCTTCAGCCCCTCACTTGTCTGCATTTCTTTATCAAACACATCTCAGTTGCAAACCAGGAGCTCCACCTTCACCACACATGAGCTGCAGAAGTGATTCCTGGCTGTGGCTTGGCAGCATTCTTAGTGGTCACCTTGCAGAAGTTCCACATAGTTCTTAAATTAAGATGGATTTGACTCATTTTAAAATGCCATCTGAGTAACATGGCTGGTATCACAAAAGCAAGTAGTAATAACTGTAGACACCCTAAAACATCGGGAATCCCCATGTCAAAACAAAAACAGAAGTGGAAATTTGGCATTTATGAGGGTGCTGTTTGTATAGGACCTTCAGACGTGAGAGGCAGCTGCCGCCAAGGGCAAACTCTCACATTGGATGTGGACATGGATTCCCTGCAGTCACCATACCATGGGATGTGTTGTACAGACAATTTTACATAACTGAGTATTGAAATGTGAACAGAAGATAATGCTTGTTCTAACAGTATTTTGTTTGTGAAACAGGGTATTGCTATGTAGTCCAGGCTAGCCTTGACCTCTTGGCAATCCTCCTGCCTCAGCCTCTGGAGTGCTGGGGTTACATGCACATGCCACCATACCTGGCTTACTTTTACCATCTTAAGAGCAAATTTTTTTTTATGATCCAGAATAAATATTATGGTTTCACGATACTTGTTATAGCTCATGTCTAGATGTCCCCACAAAGCCTCTTATAGTCAGGGATGGGGACTCTTTGGAGGTGGCTGAATCTAGAGTGTGTGATGCTGGGATAAAGGGTGAGTGATTTGTACATCAGTCCACCGCTTGGTTTCGTAAGTTCTGACTAGGATTATGGGTGTGCGTATTACATCTACTCTAGGGATGGTAGCCTGAATACAGTGCAAGGGACAAGGTGAGCTTGTCTTGGCCCTTGCTTGTTTTGGGACCTCCCACTGCCATGCACTGTTCTCTGCCTGCTGCCCTGCCTTGGGGCCAGTCAATTACGGACAGAACTCTCTACAAACTGTGAGCTGTATAAACCTTTCCTTTTTTAACTTTGAGTGTCAGGTATTTTTTCTCTTGACTGAGAAAAATTTACTAGAACAATATGGGTAAGAGAATATACAACTGTCAGACAAAGGAGTGAGGCTTTGGTTCTTCAGCTGTCCTCACTGTGGCTTCGGGGTAAGGCCTGGCCTGGCCCCAGCTGGGCAGGGTAGCATCCAGGGTGAGCCCTTCTCACTCTGGTAGTCTGGCAGGAGGCTGAGGCAGCCCCTCCTCATGGGGTGTGCCAGACTTGCCCTGGTGGTTTGATTAAACATGAACCACAAGAAGGACCTGTGTTCATCTTAGGCTGTACAGGATATCCTCCTCCCCAGTGCTCCTGGTCATTGCAAGCCAATGCATGCCAGGAGCTCATTCTAAAATTAGCAAGTAGAAAGACCTATTCTGAGAATAGTCGCCATCCTTGCAGGCTACAGCAGTGACTCTGAGGGTCTGGCGTGACATTCATCATGACCTAGTGCACTATCTTGTTTCCTGCGACCCTCACTCCCACAGGGACCGGAACACTGATCTGTCACATGCTCTGCCCTGGGCTCTCATCTGGCTGAGACAGATAAGAGGAGCATGAGATCAGAAGCCCAGGAGTCTAGCACACTACCGGCAGCATCAGTGCCCAGAGCTGGGTCCAGGGAGCAGCGAGCTCATCACTGGAGAGCAAGAACAGGCAGAGGCAGAGGCAGAGGGCAGCAAGACTATCCTACTGCTGAGATCTCCCGGAATACATAGAGAGTCACTGTAGCAACGTGCAACAAGTTGTGGCTCCAATTTCCTGTTGGAGCCCTGATCATAAGCTTCACAATCCCACGTGTGCTAATCAGATGTCTGCTTTAATCAGATGCAGGCATCTTCAGGGAAGGTGAACAGCACCCAAGTGATGGCCATGTGCCACTACTCTGCAGCCTGGGGCCAGACTGGGTGAGGATGGTTCAACCAGAACACACAGCCCTGACTTCAGCCTCAACTGTTCTTAACTCTGTCAGTGGGCCTAGCAGGTGCCTTTCCTGGTCCCCAAGGAGCTCCAGCCTGGGACTGATAAGAATAACAGAAATAGAGTCCAGGAAGAGAGCTCCACAGAGGGCAGTGGAGCAAAGATAGAAAGAACTGCAGTGGGTTTGGGGCCAGAGCTCCCTTGAGCCATCAGGCAGCCATTGTTCAGCACCACAAGAGCCCAGCCCTGGAGCAGGGCCTGCAGATGCATGAGAAGGACAAGAATCCAGGAGGTCAAGGCAAAGCTCTGGCCTCAGAAATCTTCTCTTCATTTCCAACGACCCTAAACTGAACAAATCCAAAGTGGGCCTGGACAGAAACAGGAGCTAACCCTGCAGGGAATGGCTTGGGGATCTGAAACGCTTGGCACAACTGACACAGCAATGGCCAATCAATCCCTCCATGCCATTTGGTTATAAGACCAACTACTGGCTAAGTGGTGAAGGGATTTTCAGGGCTGACAGAATTTTTACTTGAAAAGAAAAAGATTCTAGCTTTAATTTTACAATTCAGAATATTCTACTATGAAGCTGGTGTTATTGGCACAAAGCAAAGCAACCATGCTGTGCTTTCTACTTACTTTTTCTCTGTACTAGATACTGTGTGATTCCTATTGGGGTCCACCCAGGCCACACAAGGAGAGGAAAGGCTCTGCTGCTGATGGCATCTCTCCCTGCTGCACCACAATTAGCAGAAGGCCCCCTTAAGATTTGCCAAGGAAACAAGCAATCCCAGCTTATGCGAACAGGCACACTATAAGGACCAAGTTCCCCTGGGCCTAAGTCCTGGACATGCTCAGCCTTTGGTTAACTGAGCTTTGTTAACATTTAGGACAATGAAGTCATCACTCTATATCACAGATACAGAGCAATATTTTCCTTACTTTCATTAAATAGACAAATAACCTGGGTAACTCCAGTTTCAGGAGAGTGTATGCCACACTTTGGTTTTAGAAGGACCCTTGGAGCCCTGTGTGTTAAAAGTTTGTCCCTGTTAGGCAGCAAGGGAAGCTGTAGGAGCCAGAGCCTCACAAGTGAAGGAAGTTAGGTCACAGTGTTCTCTGGATCAGTTTTCCCTCCTCCTTCCTTTCTGCCTGCGTGAGGTGAGCAGCTTCTCCTCCACACACTCTTGCCACAGCCCAGAGGTAGTGGGGCCAAAGACCACAGACCAGAGCCACTGAAACCTCCAGCCCAAAAAGCCTTTCACCTGTATGAGCTGACGATCTCTGGTAGTGATGGAGAGCCAATGAACAGTGTCTCAGTCACTCTTGCTAGTAAGTAGGGCAAACCAGCTGACACTTGCAACATGCAGGAGAGGATTATTTGGGCTCACCCTTACAGTCCATGGTATACCAGTTCTAAGATAGAAACAACATGGCTGAGGGGCCTAGTGGATGAAGGCTGCTCATGTCCTCGCAGCCAGGAAGAGGAGAGAGGGGAGGACCCGGGAGGGGGTAGATGCTCCCAGGTCCTGTCCCCAGGTTACACCTCTTCCAAGCAGGCCCACTTCCTAATAGCATGTTCTGCTCTGAACTCAGCCACTGATGAATAATCTGCCATGAATCACCTCCATGAAGCCCCACCTCTGAACAGATGAGGCTTTCAGGGAAAAAGTGAGCTCTGAACCATAACATCCTGGCCCAAAAAAGACTTATGTTCATCTCATAGTGCAAAATAAGAGTTGCCACAGTCTTGACAGCTTCAGCATTGCTGAAAAGTCCAAGTCCAAAACTTCCTCTGAGACTCAAGGCAAACACCTATGAGCCCCTGAAAAATTCAAGAAGTTTAACATTACAGCATACAGTGGTACACAGATAGGTCATATTTGTGTGGGTAGTGGGTTCACTGGTTCCTGTGTCATGAGAGCTGCTTGATGGGCTCTCTCCAATGCCCCCTCCCTTACCATGTGACACCTTCCATGACCCAGCAGAACATCACTAGATGCTGAACAAAGTCAGCACCATGCTCTTGGGCTTTCAGAACGATGAACTAAATAAGAATCTTTATTTTGTATAAGGCAGTCAGCCCTAGGTACTGTTATAATAACAGAAAATGGACTAGGACAGCTTACCTGTCTCACTTCCAATCAAAGGCTCATTTGCAAAATGCTTCACAAAATCCTTTAGAGATGAGTATTCATTAAATCCAAATTTAAATGAGTATCCAGTGTATTCAACGTGGAAGTGCTTGACAGAGTCTTTGGCTCTGAAAGGGAAAAAGAGGTACTTCATGTTATTTAACTTCAGTTGTTCAGGCTGAGCTTGAATTCACTACATAGAACAGTATGGCCTTGGACTCTCAGTAACCCTCCTGCCTCAGCCCATAGAGGGCTGGCCTTACAGGTTTACAGATCACTCCAATCAGCTTCATTTGGACTTTGCAGGTAGAGAGTGGAAGGTGATCAACCTGTCTCAATGTAAGCCTCCCTGTGGTTTGGAAACGCTACTGGGAAGGAAATGAATCCAGGAGACCCTAGCCTGGGGAGCAGGTAAGTGCAGTGTCAGATCTCAGTCTTTCCACCCTGGTGTTCAGAGAAATGCTTTCTTAGTGGCTCTTGTGCCCAATCAGAGAGAGGAGAGGTAAAACAGCCCAGAACAGACAGAAACTTTGGGTGCTAGCAGAGAAGGAGGTTAGACAGTGGGGGGGGGGGGAGATGGTGACACTGCCCAGTGCTGTGGCTGCTCCTGTTGGGCCCTGACAGCCAAGTGGTGGGCACAGCCTGAGCTTGGGTGAGTGGCTAGGGAAACCCAGGAGTCTTCCCATCCCAGGGGGCCACAGGGCTTGGTGAATTCCCTGCCTGTCCCAGAAACCCCTCCTTGCCCGTCAGCCCCTGGGAACACTGGCTGAGGAGAACAACAGGGGACACTGAGACTGGAGGCACCTGGAGGGCACCATTAACCTCTCACCTCTGGGGAATGGGCTCAAGAAAGGAACTACCCTCACAGGGACAAGTTCAGCTGCCTGCTTGGTCACAACTGTGGACTCTGTAGCCACAGCTAGACTCGGCCTCTGGAGGATAGAGGACGGGGAGGGGGATGTGAGCCAGGTCCCCAGGGTGGACTCAGGTGCTTTCTCAGCCAGGGGAGGCCTGGCTTACTCTTCCCTGCTTCTCTGGCTTTGGGTCTTCCTGGTGGACTAGAGTAGGAAAGGTTCTCAGGTCTCAGGGTGATGGTGAGTCTGCTAGCAGGCAGCTGAGAGGGAGCATGGGTCAGCAAGGTGGCTGCGCCTCTCCCACACCTACCTCACGGACAAGGAGTACTGGCCCGGCTGCTCTTGGCTGTCTCTCAGGAGGTAGCTGCCATCGCGCCCATTGCATAGGAGCAGGGCCTCTGCGGCGTGCCTCGTGAGGTCGCTGTGGTACCACCTGCAGGGAGAACAGCTCTTTCACTGGGGTTACAGAGGTTCCCCCAGGACTCTACTCCAGTGTGCTTCACAGGGCTCTGGGTCTAGCCCTGGGAGAGAATGTGTTCACTTGCTGCAGGCTCCCTTAGGGGTAAAGTTTTCACTACCTTAGTATCAGTCCAGTCCCAGGCCCTGAACAGTATCATCCCAGCTGGATGCCTGGGACAGGAAGTCAGGGTGCACCCCAACCCAGAGCAGCCTTGTGGGTGTAGATGGTGCCCTGCACAGTCCGGGGCCAGGCAAAGCTAGGCAGAGTCTTCTTTATGATGGGGTGGGGCCACTTGCTGACACCTGACACCTGCTGAGGACACTGGACAGCAATGTATCCTTCTGCAGCCTGTGGGGCAGGGCTGAGCGCCTGCCCCAGGAACCAAAAGTTTTGAAACTTCCACTCCAGAACAGGCCTATGGGTCCTAGAACAGGCTTTGGCCAGTTTTCTCCCTTCTTCTGGTCTCTCTCATGCTCCCTTTCACATGTGAGGGGCCCTCTCACAGGAAAGCACTGAACCATGGTCCGGTGTGAAATGAACTGAATTGCAAAAAATCTCTTACACTGAGTGCAGGCACATTGAGGATTGGATCAAATTTACAAAAGTCTGAAGAGCGGGAAAGTCCAAAGGAGAATCAGATTGCTCTGTGTGTGTGCGTGTGTGTGCGTGGGCGCGCGGGTTTGTGTGTGTGTGTTTTATAATTGATCATTGTACTTTAGGAAGGTAACACAGCTAAGTGTGCTGACATGTGCCTGTAAGCCTGGCACTCTGGGAGGCTGAGGCAGGAGGACAGCAAGTTCAAGACCAGGCTGGGCAGGTTAGTGAAACTGTTTCAAACAGGAAACAAAACAAAGGGGGTACCTGGAGGAGTGTGAATGGTTCAGGAGGACTCTCAGTTCCAAGTCACCCTTTTTTATTTTAGAGAGAAAAAAACAATGATACAGAGTTTCAAAACAAGATAATAGGATACTAACAGTGGTCAATATATTGTGTATTGCTATCTTCAAAGTAGTTGCTCAGATTACAAAATACAGGCAAGAAAGATTAATCAAAAATGTCTAAATCATTCTTGGGACAGGAAGTCAGGGTGCACTCCAACCCAGAGCAGCCTTGAGCTCCCCTTTTTAGCAGAGGGAAATGTTCCTATAAGAGCACTTTGGGGAACACATCCTTCTGGGGGTGAATGGGGACCCAGAGACCAGGGAGTCCTGGCAGGGTGTGTCTACCTTGGACTGAGATGACCATGCCTGCTCTGCATTGTTGACGCTAAGCACAGGTGACTTGGACAGATTCCCATGGTCACCCCCCTCCCAGAAGCTGCAGAGGGAGCAGAAATGGAAGAGCCCAGGCCTCCTGGAGGTGGCTGCTGCCCAGCCAAGAGGAGAAGTGGCACTGGGGCTGTGCTGGAGGAGTGGACATGGAGGTGGGCACAGATAGGGTGGACACGGAGGTGGATGGGGGCTGATGTTCAAAAGTACAGGCAAAAAAAAAAAAAAAAAGTACAGGCCAGCCAGTTCCCTGGGGAGCCCGTCTGAATTACAGCCCCTGGTCCTCAATGTGTATTTTTTCTGATTATAAAGTACAAATAATAAAATTTGGAGTGTACGTGGAAGGAAGAGCACGTGATAGTGCTTCATGGAACATAAACAACGTATTTCCAACTCACAGCCTCACTACTGATGGGGATATGTAAATGGAAACTGCAGTGTATGTTTTTCTTTATCTACCAGATTAGTGGCATAGAAAAGTGAGATAGTAGGAAGTATTGAGGAATTTGAGGTGCCAAGCCATCTACTATCACCAGGGGAGGAGCTGGCGAGCGCTGGGCACCTGGAGATGAGATCTCAGTTATGCCCACTTGGAGACCCATTAGCATGGATGGAGGGACAGAGACACCCACTGTGGAGCCACTTGTGGGAGGGAGCATTTGGAGCTGAGAAATGCCCTGCACCATAAAATGGAGAACAATGACTTATTTTCATGAAATAACTATCAAAACAGCACTAACACGCTTTTGCTGTAGGCTGATCATTTCTTTGCATGAACACAGCTGTGTTATATAATTTTCTAGCCAATTATAAAATAAATAAAAAGCACATCATCACATACGGTTTTTGTGACCATCAGCATCAGCCTTGCAATGAAGCCGCTGAAGTTCAGCTGCAGGTGTCCACCACGCAGACCGAAGCCCTCAGTGGGCAACACCACACAGTAGGATTTATGGTCGCTCTCTGTGCCCAGCTGGACCCTCTCAGCTCACGTAGGAAAGAAGCCACAAAGACGACCCAAGTTATCAGCAATTCTAGAAGTTGCTTGACAAGCTTCACAATGTCAAGATGAAGCTGGCGTTTTTACACTGTCAGTGTTTTTTCAATACTTTGTAGTGTTTTACATGAAAGACTGAACTTTTATTGCTAGAAAATTATTATTATTCTTTTTTGTCACTGAATTTTTTTTTTTTCTTTTTTTTTCTTTTTTTTTTTGTCACTGAATATTTTGATGAAATCTCTGCTTTGGCCAAACTCCAATTCTTACCAACTTAAATTTTTTTTTTTTTGAGTACCAATAAGACTTTTTATTCATTGAATTTTCCCAAGGAAAGGAGAAGGGAAGGAAAAGTCAGCACACGTGTTA